TAAGGAATAAGGAAAAAAAAAGAAGCGAGCCCAAGCCGTATATGGAAATCGTTATGCATAGAGGGAAAAATTGTGTTTGCTTTTTTTTTGGGCGTGGCCGCAAGACAATGAGAAATGTAAGTACAAACGCGTGCAGAAGCACTCCGGCCATAGCCCATTGGTATAAGGGCCCAAACCATGGCCATCACATGTGGCTTACTGTAAATTGTTTATGGCCCGAACGAAGTCTTTAAAAAAGCCCTTAAATGCGAAACGGGGGGAAGGTGGCAAGGGTGCGTTTACTTATTTATTTTGGGATTCATTATAATCAAAATGAAGTCGGACAACTTCTCGGTGAATGTGGAATTTGTCCCAAGAGTCAGCCAACAGAGTACTACTATTTTCATGTAGCTCGTTCGCTCTAGAGGTAGGTTAGTTACATGAGGAAACTCGAAGAGAAGTCAGTAGAGCTTGATGTAGCTCAGATATTTGTCTTAATTTATTAAGGTGGACTTAACTTCAGTTTACTTTCCTTTGTAGAGAGAGAGAGAGAGAGAGAGAGAGAGAGAGAGAGAGAGAGAGAGAGGGATAACTATAGCTATTGCTGAACTTTGTTCCGGTTGTTGCTGAGTGAAAGCTGGGGGACTACTTAAGTTCTTCCTATAGAGCTGCTATAGAAATAGAGAGTCAGGTAGGGGCAGTCAAACACCTGCCATCGATCCAAGACTGTTAGAAAAATGAACGGAGCGGCAAGAGGAGCTCGTGGGAGCAAAGCAGAGTTCTTATACTAACAATTTATATGCATATTATATGTAGCATCATTATATTTAAGCCTATGAGCTCAGCATTTAAAGCTCATTCGCAGCCTTGATCAACTCCTGTTGATCTTTGCTCTGCGTTCACAAAGCCTTTATTGTATTAGATTTCCCAACTTGAGAGTAATTAGTTCCCAAAGCAGATATACTTTATCATGCATAATTCATTTTATGCTCAAATTTCATTAAAAATACTCTTTAAAGTTACTTCACTCTCCAAACAGAGCGTCGTAACATAAAACTAAACATACATACATATATATACACATATATGTCAAATATATACATACATATATGTCAAATACATAGTTGTCATGAGCCCATCAAATTCTCGCCTCTCTATGAAGATGAGCAGTGTCTGGTCTGAGCATTTCCATGTCGTATTTGCTTATGTTATATTAGTAGTATTGTATTATAGTATTGTTTTAGTATTAGTGCGAGGCTGAGCTGCAGAAATATTATTCGGCTGAGTTAGTGAGCTTGCCTGGAGCTCTTGTAAAAATATTATCCGAGAGAGTTTGCTTGTGCTTCAGCTACACGCTTCTCATTTCCAGCTAACATCCTCTAATGGTCACTCTGTGTGAGTGAGCGAGACAGAGATAGCTGTTTGCTGAACGTAGTATGTGGCTGTTGCTGAGTGAGAGCGAGATAGCAGCTGAGATTATTCATGCAGGGTCGTTATGTGAGTAGATGAAGAAGAAGAAGAAGTAGACTAGAATTTGAAATACTGCAAATGAAATATAATATGCATATTTATTTTATTTGGCAGTTATCATCTGTTTATCAGCTTGAATATTTATAGAGAAATATAAGCTAAATTCTTAGAAATATCTAGTCATATATGTATGTAAGTATATATGTTTATATCATATTCCCTTACGTAAATTGGGATTGCACTGAATAAAAGTTTTGACATCTGCTGGAATGAATTGTAATTTAACTCGAATAAGAATCTCAGTAATCAAGGGTATTTAATATTCTATAATATTTATAGATCAGGATTAAAGATATTTAATATTACTTGGGCATATAAGCAACATATATTCATTTATCTCTAATTTGTTCACTGAAAGAAAGTTTGACTTCAACTCGAATGAACTTGAATCGCAGTTGATCCAAAGGGTATTTGAGGGTCCCCACAACGAATCATACTCATATATGAAACATTTAATTAAAAATCTTGCATTTCTTTCGCCTCCATACATATAGTTGCATATACATATATTTATTTATATATATTTTTCATGCAAAGTATATGCATTTTCTTTTTTCGATTTTCTCTATTTAAGTCCAAATGTTTTTTGAAATCTTTACATGCACTTGAATAGATATTGTTATAAATTTCTGTTTTATTTTCTTTCTGTTTTGCAGTTACTGAAAAAGAAATACGTCAATGGTGAGTATGCCGTGCTGCAAATGTGAGATAAAAGTAAATAAATGATGAATGCTAACTGTAAACATTTGGCATCAATGCAGGCACAAAGGATTTCTAAAAGACTGTCCGAATGGTTTACTCACAGAGCAAGTATGTAGCTGACAATGAGTACACTCAAGCACACACACACACACACACACACACACACATAAACACAGGCACTTACATGCACAGAGACACTCATACGCTTATGGAGAGCAAGCACATGCTTAAGCTGATTCAATTCATTCAAGTCATGCTGTTAATTAAGTTAATCTTCTCAATATGTGAACACTAATTTCTTGAAACAGCAAACGATCCAGCAGCAGCAACAGGAACAATAACAATAACAACAGCTACAACAGCAATAGCAATAACAACAACATTGAGTGCAGCTTATAGCTATTCGTCCTTGGCAGAGGAGAACTCACAGCACATCCTGTTGCCAAAATGAATGACAGGCCATTTCCAATGTGTTGACGGCAACAGTTGCTGCTGCTGCTGTTGTTGTTGCTGCTGCTGTTGTTGTTGTTGTTGCCGTTGACTGCTGCTGTTGACTGCTGTTCATATTAAAATTTATTAATGTGCGCCTCATTGGAAAACACAACTTGAATCACTCACACACACACACACATACACACACACACACTCACACACATACGACTTATTAAGCCACACCCGCAACATCCTAATTGTTTCTCATCTTTCTGCCAGGGTTTTATCAAAATCTACAAACAATTTTTCCCACAAGGCGATCCCAGTAAATTTGCTTCGCTTGTGTTTCGTGTCTTCGATGAGAACAATGTGAGTATTAAGGCCATTCAGCTCATGTCCTTGCAGCTCGTTTCCACAACCATCCCATGCCCATGCCCATGCCCTTACCCAATGCCAAACCCAACCACTCACAGCCAGCAACCACCCAAGCAGCACCCAACCTTCAGATCCTACTCCAAGCAACCCACCAGCCCCATCATGAAAGTCAGCCGGGCGCTTTGACAATGATGAATTTGTACGCAACTGGAGCGCAAAAGTTGACGATTTAGGCCAATTAGCCAAAAATGGCCTAATAGAGTGCGCCACGCTGGCTAGGGCCTATGGGCGCTTGTATACCCTGTAATTGGATATGCGAGTGCTTAGTGTGAAATTCAATTAGCTGAAGATTATCTATTGGAAATATTTGATTATAGACAAAGGATAATTCGTTTCGGGTTCCGAATTTTAACGGGATTTTCGAACAGATTTGCAAAGTAGTTTTCATTCAGATATTAAAAGTAATTTTACAAAAGAAGCGAACATTGTTAAATAAGATTTTAGAAGAGGTTATAGAACAGATTCAAAAAATGGTAGAAGAGAATATTTTGAAAGATATCCTCGAAACCGAAAAGAAAATATTTTGAGAAGATTTAATAACGAATAAAAAAAAAAAAAAATAAATAAATAAATAAGTAAAAAATAATATCTTTAGGAATTACTTTGAAAAGTGAATTTAGAAAAGAATTTTAAAGAGAATTTCTAGAAGAGACTTTGGCAGACTTTTAAAGGGGGTTTTGAATCATTTTTGGAAAGACTTTTTATGAAATTTTAGAATAGCTCTTAAAAGTGATGAAGTGACAACATTCACATTCAACGACTTTAAAAGGGGTTAAAAAATAGATTAGAAGATTTTATAGAAGAGATTATTATATTAGAAGAGATTATAGAGATTACAGAGATATAGAGGTTGAAGAACAGATTTCTAACAGTTTTGCCAAAGGATATTTTGGAAGAGATTTTTGAAGACGATTAGAAAATATTTTAGAAGAGATTTTATAGCGAATTTCAAATTTTAAAACTTTAGAAATAATTTTGAAGAAATTATTAGAAGAGAACAGATGTTAAAAGAGATTTTTGAAGAGATTTTCGAACGAATTTTTGAAAAGATAAAGCAAAGATCTTGTAAGGGATTTTAGGATGGGGTATAAAAGTGATTTTTGAGATGAATGTAAAATAGTTTTTAAAAGAACTTTTGAAGCATATTGTAGAACTATAATCAAGACGTTGGCTTAAATAAGGGCTAAAAATTAATTAGAAATGAATATGGCCAAGTGGAGAAAACTTCAAATATAAAAGTTGCTAGTCTACAGCTTTGAAGCTCGTAAAATGAGTTCCCAATAAAGCTGATGCAGAACAATATGAATCTATTGGGAAATGGAAAACAAACTGCTTGAGATGCTGAGTTCAGTTAGCTTAGATTAGATCTGAGGCAGACAGTGAAAGAATGAGAGAGAGAGAGAGAGAGAGAGAGAGGGAGAGAGAGAGAGAGGGAGAAAAAAAAGAGAGAGGGAGAGAGTGGCAGTTGTTATTTACTAACCAAGTAGCACTCAACTCGAATATCTCATGCAACGTTTTGGTTATGGCCAAACCCCACTAGGGACTCATAAAGGAGCGTTCATTTTATTTATGACTTGTGGTGCAGACGTGGTGGCGGTGGCGGTGCTGATGGCGAGGGTGGTGGCTAAGATGGTGGATAGGGCAATGGCATTGCCGTTGGCGTCGTTGGCGTCGTCTTCGATGTCGTCGACGTTGGCGCCCTAAACTTGTTAGCTGTCTGGGGTCTGCACTGATTTGCTCTGCTGTCGCTTTTCTCTCTCTCTCTCTCTCTCTTTCTTTCTCTCTCTGTCTCTCCTTTCGGTTTTGCTTCTTCTTTTCTGTTGTTTTGCTTGTGCTCCGCAGGATGGGTCCATCGAGTTCGAGGAGTTCATACGCGCCTTATCCGTCACATCGAAGGGCAACCTGGACGAGAAATTGCAATGTAAGTTTTCATGCTGCCATGCCGTGCAGCCATCAAATAATGAGAGACCAATCATTGTCAATGGCCGACGTTACCAATTAACGTCAATTGGCATATTCCATTTGCTCTTTTCTTCTCTCTTCTCTCTTCTTTCCCCCAATCATGCAGGGGCGTTCCGTCTGTACGACGTCGACAACGATGGCTACATAACCCGCGAGGAAATGTACAACATTGTGGACGCAATCTATCAGATGGTGGTAAATACGACAATTATATATACGCACACATACACATAGATAGATATCTGACAGACACACACACACACACACACACATATGGATATATGTAGATAACCGATCGAAGCCATAATTATGCTATCTCAATGGTATTACTGTTATTATTATTATTACTTCAATAGGGTCAACAGCCGCAGTCGGAGGATGAGAACACGCCGCAGAAGCGAGTGGATAAGATATTTGATCAAATGGATAAGAATCATGATGGCAAATTAACATTAGAAGAATTTCGTGAGGGTAGTAAAGCTGATCCACGTATAGTTCAGGCGTTAAGTTTAGGTGGTGGTTAAAAAAAAAAAAAAATATGATAATCCAACAAATTAACAACAAATCAACATAAAAATCTATAGAAACGCGCAACAAATACAACTGTAACATCAAAAATTAAAATACTTTCAAAATGCTACAAGTTTTTGAGACAAAAACGAAAAAATCCAAAAACAAAAAACTCAATGGAAGCGCTTCTGGTTTTTGTTTACAAATCTTACAAAACTCCCACACAGCATATATATATTTTTTTTTGCTCGATTTCGCGCGTCGATTAATATTCAAAATGATAATAATTTTTTGATATATATAATGAAACGAATAGAGAAATTCAAAGCACACACATATATATATATGTATTTGCATATATATGTATGTATGTTTAGATATATACAGAATATGGCTAAAGTATAAATCGTGGCGTAAGTAGAACGCAGTTCATAGCAATAAAAACTAT